CTTCGGATCTCCAGTAGATTTATAATGTGGTACACTTATATAAACAACAGTGCCACATCTCCCAAATATTCTTTCAATCCAGCTGTGATTAACATCTTTGGGAAGTAATTCCTGTGATAAGTTAGAAGCAATATTAAATATACAAGCACTCTTTCTCAAGGTCAATACATTTTCACTTGTAACATTTTTTTTTAAAAGTACAAAAAAAGTGAGATATGGGGCTAGAGATGTGAGAATTTGCTTCTCAAAGCTCAGTGAGGGAAAAGCCTTCAGTGAGGGCTTTGAGGTTAGGCAGGCCTGGGAAAATTACTTAGCTTCTGTAAGCCTCAGATGCCTCATCTGTAGAATGGGGGTGATAAGGAATAAGGCTACTTCATAGGTGTGATTCATTCATTTAAATAAATTAACACATGTAAAGCATTCAGAACAGTGCTTGACACATGGCACATGGTCAATAAATTTTAGCTGTATCATTATCATCGTCATCGTCATCATCTGTGGGGACAGGCAGAGAGGAATGTGTTGCAACAGGATTGCACTCTGGTTTCACGGGCTGGACCTACAGGTTAAAAGTTGGGTTGTAAGTTGCCAAAGGTAATCCCTTTTTGTGTTGACTTTGAAGCAGGATGAGCTCTATTTAGAGCGGCTAAACAAAAGTCACTAAAGTGTCCCCTTGCTCAAAAGGGTGAAACTTGGGGCACCTGGGTGGCTCAGTCAGTTAAGCGTCTGCCTGTGGCTCAGGTCATGAGATCAGGGTCCTGGGATCGGGGGCATCAGACTCCCTGCTCAGCGGGGGTCTGCTTCTCCCTCTCCCTCTGCTCCGCAACCCCCCCCCCCGGGTCGTGCTTTCTCTCTCCTTCAAATAAATAAATAAAATATTTTTTTAAAAAGGGCTAAGCTTTATATTACCCTAGGGTAGGACATTGTCTCCCGAAGGCCCCCATTAAAATGAATACCATACTTAGAAGGCAAAACCTCAAACCACTATCACACATTAACTCCCTGAGTCAAGTGCATTCATCAGATTGGTTCCAGCAGAGATTGGTGCTTTTGGGGAATAAGACAGTGAGCAGCTGTGATGGCTACTAAAAAGACAGATGTGGATGGAGCAGAGCAAACAGAGAGTCTTTCCTTCTTGATCAGTTTCAAGAGGCCAGAGGCCAGAGCCCTAAGTGGGAGGGGCATGTCGGGAAGAAGAAAAAACTAACATTGAAGGAGCAACTACTGTGGACAGGGGACCATGCTGCTAAGTTCTTTACTTGCATTATCTCATTTAATCTCGCAAGCATAATAAGGTAGGTACTATTACTACCCTCATTTAACAGCTGAAGAAACGGAGTCTCGGAGAGGTTAGATAACTTTCCCAAGGTTACACAGTTAACAAATGAGATTGGGGAGGTGGAGTTTGAATTCAGTTATTTGAAATTCCAAAAGCTGAGTTCTTTCTAATAGAGCACAGTGCTCGCTCAAACCCAGAGGACAGAGAGCTGGATGAGGCAACGGAACGGCAGCAACCAATGGTGGTGGTGGTGACGACATAGGACACTAAGCAATGCTAAACAGCTTGTGCACAGCAGTGATGAGGGTGACAAGTCACAGAATGGCTTTGCATAGGTCAGTTATCTCATCTCTGTGCCCAGTAATACACTGAGTCTTACCCCTGCCCCCAGGATTGCCCCTGACTTTGATTGGAAACTGAATCTTGGCCCTGACCCAATCCTCACGTGCAACAATGCACGTCACAGCTATTTGCTGCCTTGGGGCAGGGGAGTGGGGCTGGTTTCATGTACCTCCTCCTCACCCCTGAAGAAACACCTTAAAACATTTATTTGCTGATATTAACTCAATAGTCTCATCTTCCTGAACAAATGAATAAAGGCAGCACAGAGTTATGCCAACAGTTTATCTCTTCGACCAGCACTTTCCAAGTGCCAGCTATGTGCTAGGCACTGTCTTAGGTACAATCATTCCCGTGACCTTAAAGTCCGGTGAGGGAGACAGATCTGAAAACCCGTCCTTTGAATATGACATTAAGATATATGGGAGCCCATGGGGGTTTCAGAGTGAGCAACCGGAGTTGCAGTCCTTGCCTCATGTGCCTCAATTCCAGAAGGTATGCTGGTGGTGGACCCTCTTCACAGCCCCACAAAGCAGGGCATGCAAATACAAAAGTGCTCCCAACTCATTGCAGGAGTGACTGCCAGTGAAAGGCAGAGCCATGGCTGTTAGGAAGAGGGCAAAGTCTCGGCAGGCGAGAGTGGTCTGAGAGAGGAGGAAGATGAGATCTTGGATCCGGGACTGGAAAAATGGATGCAATTTGGTTAAATGGTGAGAAGGGCTAGATTAAAACATGATTCTCCCATGTGTTCAGCTCTTTAAATCTTGCTTTTAAATGCATGCCTTCTATTTACTGAATGCTGCTTGCCTTAAACACTATTGGTTTGTTTTCGTATTTTTTTTCCCTTGCACATTTTGAAGATTAGGTAAAGTGGGAAAAAGGATTACAGAAAAAGGAAGAATGAATGAGGTGCTTTAACCCGGCACTGTCTGATAGCACTTTCTGCAACGATTGGAAGCTTCTATTCTGTGCTGTTCAATTCAGTAGCCACTGGCCACAAGTTGCTACTAAGCAATTGAAATGAGGCCAGTGCCACGGAGGAAATTACTTTTTCAATTTGTTTTAAATGTTATTCATATCTACCATATTGGAAAGCGCAGCTCTAACTGCTTAGCAAATAGCTCACACACACCCTAGTAAAGGTGTGATTCAATATAAATGCTTCTATTAACCTAGTGTTGGGAGCAAACAGGCTTGATCAATCAGGGGCTGGAGGGTCCCGGTTCCTAAAAACGACCCTACAAGGGTTTATTCCCCATTTGCACAGTGCCTTCAGGTACGTTATCTCATTTAACCACATAACAACCCTGAAGAGGGGAGGGTAGAAATGATCATCCTCATGAAATCCAGTACGGAGGTGACACTAGCAAGGTCCTACAGCACAGAAGGGTGGAGACCAGAGGCCAGGTGTTTTTCCTCCCGATTGGAAGACTCCTTCCAGGGGGATGGCACCAGGGGAAGTGATGTCATATTATAAATGCCCACTGCTCACGGCCTAGGCATTATGGATGATGAGAGGTGCTCTGCTTCACATGTCTGCCTTTTTCCTACTGGACTGTGGCTAACGGGGCCATAGACAAGTAACAGGAACTCTATTTTATTCCCTTCCCACTGCCTTGATTGAGGCAATAGAGATATTTTTGAAAAGTGCATTTATATATTCAAAATTATGCACTGAGCACCAACCCTGTTCCAGTCAGCGTTCTAGTCTGGGGCTACAGCTGTGAACGAAGCAGAGCTCCCTCTCTCGTGGAGCTGACAGTTTTGGGGGGGGGAGAGACTGACAATAAATAAATTGTGTATATACTGGATTGTTTCAACATTTCAAAAACATTTCAAATATACCAGGGCCTCTCGCATCGTTTGTGGCACACATATACACTGTCCAATGTATTTTTGTGTGTAAAGCTGGACCTGCACTTCAAGAATCTGCCTGGCTAGTTGAAATGTGGAAACACCTTTCGAAGTAGTCTTTTGACATGGGTTGAGTGCCACCTATGTGCAGAGTCCGATACTGGGGACTTTGGAAAGATGTAGAAGAATGAGAAGACAAGGTCTTGTCTTAGTGGGTTCCCAGCCCGGTGAAAGAGGCAGTCCCTTGCCTTAGGAGCTCCCAGCCTGTAAGAGCTGACAGTCTAGCTTGGGAAGGCAAAAAACTTCAGGACCCACTTACAAAGGGGAATCCCAAGTAGGGGCAAAATGAATCCAGCCTAGACTGTTCAGAGCTGGGTAAACTGTCCCCCTCATGATGATGGGGAACAAGAAAGGGAACACCCTCGAAGTTGCTGTTTGTCCCAAAGGCGAGGAGGAGCCCCCCCCCCCCCGTAGGCGGGGCAGCCCTTCCTGGATTACTGTTACCCCCGCAAGTCTTCTGGATGAGATGGAATTCGAGGTGCTATTGCAAGAATGAAGAACTGGGAGGCAGGATGGGGGGGTGGGCATTCCAGGTAGAGGGTGCCTCCTGGGGACCCGCCCCCCGGACAATTAAGCAGTCTTGGGCACAAACCTAGGCAGTCACCGCCCAATACAAACCCAGTTGAAGATGCAGAGGAGAAAGAAGGGCTAGTGGGGCGGGGGTGGGTCTTGGCTGGGGAGTGGCAGCGGGAAGGAGCCGGTCAGAGGCGGAGGGGATGAGTGGGGGCAGCCTGGGCCAGGTCCTCCCTGGAGCGCCCAGGTTCCTTGACAGCCGTTAAGGAAGCGAGGTGAGAAAGGGTTAAGTGTGCCCCTCCACCGCCCCAAAAGCTTCCTGTGTTTGAAATCCTTCAGGTCTCCAAAACCCTCTGGCCCCCGGCCAGGCGGGCATTGTCCTGGGAGCGGTTGTGGGTTGTCGGAGCGGCCGTGCCGCCTTTGTTGTGGGGCCACCTCGAGGTTCCCTCTCGCGCCCTGGCTGGGGCTGCAGAATGCGTGCCGGGAGGGGGGCGGTGCGGGAGGCTCGCTCCCTCTCCCTCTTCCTGCCCCCCCCCTCGAGCCCTCCCGATGACCACATGACCAAGTGGGCTCGCGGCCAAGCCACAAGCTACAAAATGCAGCCCCTGGAGTGAGCGGGGAGCATTCTCGCTGGCAGCCTGGGCCAGGGGCACTCGGAGCCTCGGCGGAGCAGCCAGCCTCCTGGAAAGAGCTCGCCGTCGTCCCCGGAGCCGCCCGCGGAGGCCAGCTTGGCGGCGCTGCCCCGCGGCAGGAGAGGGAGGCTGCCGGAGAGGAGGCGGCGAGCGAGCGCTGTAGGCGGCCAGCCCGCGCGGCGCAGCCGGGGAGCCACGCGAGCTCCGCGCCCGCACGCACGCACTGTCCGCGGCTCGCGCCTTTCCCCGCCTCGGGGCGCCCGGCCTCCCCTGTCCCCCCCGCCCCCGGCCCCGGGGCCGCTGCGGCGCGGCCGAGGAGCAGCATGGATCTGCGGCGCTGCGTGCAGGCGCTCCTGCTGCTCTGGCTCTCCCTGACTGCGGCGTGTGGAGGTGAGTGCGTGCCCCGCCGCTCGCCCGCGCGCCCCTCGCCGCCCTCCTGGACCGCAGCCGACGCGCTCCCTTCCCTCCGCCCCCAGCTCGCGCGCTCTCCGCCTCCCGGGAGCAGCCACGCGCCGGCCGCGCCGGGCCGCCGACTGACTGACAGGGCGCCTTGGGCCAGGGACCCAGCCGGCCCGGGGCGACCGCTTCCTCCGGGAAGGGCGCTCGCCTCGGTCTCGGGCGTCACCCGCCCGGCGCCTTGCCCCTCCCGGCGGCCCCTCGAAGTCCGAGGAGCTCAGGGCCGCGGGCGTGCGTCCAGCGTCCCGCGCCCTGTACCCCCACGTGGTGGAGGGTATGTGTGTGTGGCGGGGGCGGGGGGAGCATGTCCCGCTCCCCGTGGATCAGTGGAGGGAGCTTGACCTGAGCCTGGTGGCCTGGCCTCCCGAGTTGAAGGTTTTCCGGCCCCTGGACGTTAGGGGCCGCGCGCGGGTGCCGGGGCGCGGGCCACTCGGGATGATGTGCCAAGATGCAGACGTGACACTTGTTGCATAGGCAGGAGCGCGCGGCGGGGGCGGCGGCGTGGAGCCCGGCTGTTGCTCTGTTCAGCCTGCATGTGAGCCAAGGCAGCCTTCCCCGGGCCGAGCCGGGCAGCGCCGGGCCAGGCTGGTCTTCTCTTCCCCAAGCTCCGATCTGGTTCGCTCTCCTGCTCCCGCACAGGAGGCCCGCCCCACGCACACCGCCCCCCCCCCCACCCCGCCCAGGGCCTCCTTCTTCGATATCCTGGCTCCGGCCTTTACTCATCAGCCCCAGGCACAGGCTGTCTCCAGGCACCAAACCGGGAAACATGCGCCTGACTTGACACCTCCATGCAATTCTGGGAGGGGGACCCCTTTCTGCCCCACCTGCACCACGCCCCCCACCTGGCATATTTGGCACCGGTGCTCCCTTGCCCTCCCTAGACCCGGTCCCCGCCGATGCCCTGGCAGCCTCAGCCCAGGCTGCCTGTCCCCCGTGCGTCAGTGTCTCCTGGGGCTGTCAGCTCCTGCCTCCAGCTGCCGCAGTCCTGTGATCTGGCTTTCACTGCTGCCTGCCTGGCACCACAGAAGGGCAAGGCCAAGCCCAGGTGGACGAATGCCAGTGCCAGGGCTGGAGCCGCAGAAAGGTGGGAGCAGAAGGAAGGAGAGGGCAGGGCAGCGGGTTTCCTAGATGAAGGGGATGGGGCCCTACCTAGTTCCAGACCCTCCAGAGCAGGAGGGGGGCCTGCAGCCCAGGAGCCTCTGAGGGGCCGGGCGGGGCTCCACCTCTCTTTGTAGGCTGCCTTCTCTCTCTGCTCTTGCCTTTTGGCCCTGCCCTCGCCCTGGGAGCTGCCTGGCTTCTCAGGAAGGTGCATCGGTTAGCTCTGGCACTCCCTGCCTTCAGCTAGCTGTCTAGGGGTCTTCTTCCTCAGGGCCCAAGTGCTGCGTGAGCCTCTTCCCTGGTAAGAAGGGAGCAGGCTTTTCCTCAGAAACTCCTGTCAGGCAGGCGAACAGAGAGCAAAAGATAGGAATGAAGGACACCTCATGGGCCTGTCCTCCAGGCACCTACCATCCAATGCAGGCGGCAAGACAAGACACCCACAGGACACCACCACTGGCAAACGGTCCAAAGTGGTACCGTCGGGGGAGAAAGAGTGGGTACAGAGAGGGTGTCCTGGAGGAAGCTGGGGCTTCCTGATCTGCATACTTGGTGCTCCCCCAGAGGCTATGGGGAGACCCTTGGGCAACTGACCAGTACTAGGACCCTTTAGGGGTCCAGCTGGGAAAGGGGACAGCTAGTTTCAAGGGGAGGGAACACTTGTGTCCAGTGCAGACCCTGTCACCTCTTGCTTTAATTTGCCCTTCTTCATTAGGGCATCTACCTTTGTGCCCTTATTTGGGTAAATTTGTTGCCCTCACATTTTGCTTAAGCCTAGCACTGGATGCTAGGCTCTCACTGCCTTCTCCATCCCATGACATCTCTAGGAGCCAAGGAGGGACGCTTCCTTGTAGGTGGCCACCAGCCAAGGGTGCAGGTACTCATGTCCTGCTCCTCCTGCCTCCTACCCTGGGTCAGAAACAGGGACCCCGGAACCACCTTGCCCTTGGCCCAGACTTGCATGCTCTCCCCAGCCAGAGTCTCCAGTCAAAGTCCCAGGCCCGGGGGCGCTTGGCTGGCACAGTCGGTTTTGTGGCCAACTCTTGGTTTCTGCTCACGTCGTGATCTCAGGGTCGTGAGATTGAGCTCCCCCCCCCCAATCAGGCTCTGCGCTCAGAGGGAAGTCTGCTTGAGATTCTCTCTCCCTCTCCCTCTGCCCCTCCCGCTCCTGCTCTCTGTCTCTCAAATAAATAAATCATTAAAAAAAATTTCCCAGGCCTGAAAACCTTGCTTCCTCCACAATACACTCTCTCCTGACTTGGAATGTCTGTGCCCCCCGCCCCAATTCACTGAACACATACAAACTCCTCCACTGCTTCCTGACCTGAGATACGCCTTGCTCTTCTGAGTCTGAGAGCTCCTGGGCCAGGGCCAAGTGTCTCTTGGTCTTGTCTGAGCACCTTTCTCCTCCTCCTCGGCCCTAGCTCAGAGCCTGCAGTTACAGTGCTAGTGTGAGACCAGCCTACTGTATGTCACCCTCTCGGGGAGCGGGTACCTCTACTCCATCCCCAGTCCCTAAGCTCCAAGCGCTCTTGTAACCTGAGCCGGGCCTCTCTCTGGCAAAAGACTAACGCAAGTGAAGTGGAGGGCCAGGCTGCCAGAGCGTGACGTGTGCAAGGGCAGCAAGGCTGGCCCGGGAAGGCAGCTCGGGGCGCTGGGGTGGAGGGCTGAGCGGACCAAGGACGGGTGCCTCAGCAGGGAGAGACCTGCAATACCGGGAGGGGGCATAGCCAGTGGGGGGCCCCACCGGAGCTGGGCTTTTAAAGCAGACACAAGATAGACTGGATGGCAAGACAGGAGGCAGATGCATCACTCCTGGTGAGGTTGGCACGTTCCTGAAAAGTCACACGCACCTCTTTGTGCGCTGGCAGGGTTGGAGTTCAGGCCGCACGGAAGTCAAACCCTGTTCACCCCTGACTGCCGTTCTCAGCGTAGAGATGCTGAGGCTTCATTCCGACGGTGCTTCAGAGAACAGGGGCTCCAGTCCCTCTAGGCTTCAGATTCTTTGGGGGATTGCCCCCAGCCTCCCTTTAAGTAGCAAATGAATTAGAAGAAAATATTTAAGTGCACTGAGGACGGCCCCCGTTTCTGAAAGGGGAATTCTTTTGTACAGCCAGGACCTCTGCAGTGATGCGCATCAACAGCCTCTGAACTGGACGGCATAAAGCCCGGGTTTCAGGTGTCAGCTTATCTTAGGGTGAGCCGGACTCAGAATCCAAAGTTGGAGGAGCCAGGAGGGTGATGGGATCAGGGTGTGGGAGGAGCTGCAGACTTCTGGCTGCAAAGAAGACAGTGAGCCCCCCACCCAATGGGATGCAATGTGCCAGGGGCTCCTGGTGGCCGTTCTCTAGGGCCTGGCTGAGTGCTCAGGCGGCCCGAGGCAGTTCTTCTCTGCCGGCTTGGAGTCGAGATGTCTCCCTGGCTGGAGTCTGAGCTACCATCTCCGTTCCCCATCCTGGTTCTCGGCCTCCGCCTACTTAGGGCCTTTCACCCCTAGTCCTCCCTCCCTTACTGCCACCAACACTCGCAGTCCTGGGTGCTGACTACGTGGAGGTGATGCCCTCCCCATCTGGGTACCATGTCTCTCTTCTCCATGCCCACTCTACCGCTGGGGCTGTCACCTGTGCCATCGGCGCACTCCCACTCCACCCCAGTAGTGGAGGGCACGGACTCAAGAACAAGGCCTCGCAGGATCAAGGCCCCAGGAGGGTCCTTCCCTGTGCCTGGCCACACCCTCAGCACAGGCCTTCCTGCCCCGAGTGCGCCTCTCATACGGACTCCTCATCAGCATCATTCCTGCCCCCCTCAGTGGTCAGGGAGAGCCTTGAGAGGACCCCGAAACATAGGGCAGAAGCTGCAGCTGCTGAGGTCAGGGGTGGGGGTGGGGGCTTAGTGAAGGTCCTTCCCTCCTCTCTCCTTCCCTGGCCCAGCCCTTTTGCAAATGGCTTTATGACAGACAGAAGTGGCTTCCTGCCCCACGGCCCCAAAGTGTGAATATAATTTGTGTTTTCATTCTCGTTAGGTGATGGGTTTTAATTCTCACTGGGGGAGGAGCTGACACATTAACCCACCCCAACCAGAAGCACAGAAATGTGGCTGGTAAACAGTGGGGTCCTGGCCGGCCTGTGACTTTTCTTGGGGAAAGCAGGTGGAGGACTAGAGTGTGTGCATGTGCGCAGTGGGCTTGCATGTCTTTTTTTTTTTTAAGATTTTATTTACTTATTTGACACAGAGAGAGACACAGCGAGAGAGGGAACACAAGCAGGGGGAGTGGGAGAGGGAGAAGCAGGCTTCCCGCGGAGCAGGGAGCCCGACGCGGGGCTCGATCCCGGAACTCCGGGATCATGGCCTGAGCCGAAGGCAGATGCCTAACGACTGAGCCACCCAGGCGCCCCAGGGCTTGCGTGTCTTGAGAGAGCAGCAGGGCCCCGGAGCCTGGGTGGGGAGGGCCCGAAGAACAAACCTCGCCTGCTTTTGGCCCAAGAGGAGGAGAAATGCCTGGAAATTGTGTGCAACCGGAGGAAGAATCACTAGGGCCAAGGAGCCAACAGAGGACCCAGAGCATGGGGGTGCTGGAGGCAGGAGGAGGGAAAGGAAGATCAGCCAGGGGTATGACTGGGGGGCTAGCAGCCAACGGGTGGTGATATGGAAACTGTGAGCTAGTTGTGGGGATGCCTGGATGGATGGAAATGGAGCTTCAGGGGCAGGGATATAACTGAAGGCAAATCCGGTGGTGTGGGAGGAGAGAGACTGGGATTGGTGATCACTGACCTCAGAAGCCGTATTTCTGCAGGCCAGCCCAGCCCCGGACTGGGCATGGCTCAAGTTCCCTGCAATCCGCCTTCTGCCCAGCACCATCTCGTCTCCCTGTTCTGCCTGCTTCCAGAGGCTAGGCTTGTTTCTGGAGTAAAATCTCCCCTCCCCTGGTTGTGCTGCAGCATTGGTGAGAGCCAGCCCAGGTGCCTTCTCCCTCACTGCACCCAAGAACACCCAGCACCACTCGGATTCTATTGTCAGGGCTTGGCCTGGCATCAGGAGGCTTCTGCTCTACGCCAGGTGTGGGCAGATGTAGAGCAGAGCCCCAGAGAGCCAAGGAGAAGTCAACTGGGATTTAAGTGGAAGGAATTTACATCAGACACAGGGTTGGGCTGTGATGTGGGGATGAAAGGAGGTAGGGCATTCGGTGGGGAGGTGCTGGCTGCAGCAGCCCACACCCCTCCTGATGCACAGACTTGCCACCTCAAGTGACCATTCACTCATTGGTTCACTCATTCATTCAGATAATATTTATTGGCCTCTAAATGTGGTCACAGGCTGGATAGAGCCCAGCTTAAAGCACACAGAGTCTCTACAACCCCCCCCCCCCACAGCCATACCCACAGGGAGGTCACAAGGAGCACGGGAGCCTCAGGGATGCCTAAACACCGCTGAGATGCCCAGGGGTGAGGTATGAGATCTCAAGTACTCAAAAGTGGGTCACCTGTCTACTGAAGGATGTCAGAGTCCAATGACATGATGTTCTGGATTTGCTGTAAAATACTTCCACAAAGAAAAACAGAAAAGGGATAACTAAAGCCTATGGCACTCCACCTGGATAATGGTTGAATCTGGGTGATGGGTACCTGGTGGTACGGGGATTCATTTCATTGTACGTGTGAAATGTTTTCAGTGTATCCGTTGCAAGGGGGCAATGGGGAGTTATCGCTTGCTGTGCCCTGACCAAGTACAGACATATGCCCCACGCTGTACCCCCCTCCGATGTTCTAAACGGAGAACATGTTTGTGCCTGCCGGAAACATGGTAGAACTGCCAAAAGGACCTAAAGTCAGCTCCATAAATTGCAAGATGTGAGTAGTAGGTTTTGGCCCAGGCCAGTGTAAAAATTGCAAACTGTTCCTCAAGATGGAAGATAAAACCAAAGAGAAGCCTTGTTGGAGACTTGGCCCCCTACCACGAGCCTGCGGCCCCCTGCCCGTCCGCATCAGCCCTCCTGGCTAACAGGCTTTCCCTCTTCCTGCAGGGCCCCTGCTGCAGCCTTCTGATGGCAGGGGGCTGGAGGAGGGCAATGTCCGCCACCTGGTGCAGCCCAGAGGATCACGGAATGGACCGGGGCCCTGGCAGGGCGGTCGGAGGAAATTCCGCCGCCAGCGGCCGCGCCTCTCGCACAAGGGCCCCATGCCTTTCTGAAGCAGGTACTTGAGCCTCTGGGCAGTGGGGGTGGAAGGAGCTGGGGAGGGACAGCCTGGAAGTTGGGGGACCCTGCTGCTTCTTGCTGGGCAGACACCTGCACCGAGCCCTTCTGGCCCCGCACACAATGTAGGTGCTTACAAAGCACCCATCTTACCCCTTCATTTTACAGACATGGAGACCGAGGCCCAGAGAGAGGCTTGACACCTGGAGCCAATCTCCTGACTCCCCAGGAATGGGGTGCCAGCTCCCCTCCACTCGGCTGCCCGGGGTTGGGCAGGCTGGCCCAGTTGGAGAGTTCTAGAAGTCCCGGAGGGGCCTTGCTGAGCTGGAGAGGGATGCCTCAGGGCATCCTACTGGTGTGCAGGGTGGATCTTCACCAGAGAAGGGGAGGGAGGCAGAGAGCCTTGCGGGGCAGCAGGCAGAGATGAGGAAGAGAGTTGCCCAGAGCCATGAGAAAGAAAGAAAAATCCAAGGCAGTAGCAGAGAAAGCAGGGCCTAAGCTTGCCCCTGAGGCCTGGCCTGCTGTCTCGCCCCTGTGGCCTGGACAAGGTGGCACCAACTCAGGGACCTTGGGCTTTAGGTTCAGGGTTGTGGAGAGAGGGGAATGAAGGCTGTCTCCTTTGCTTTCCTGGCTGGTTCCTTTGACCTAAGACATGTCCGTGACTTCTCGCTGGTCGTTTTTGTCTCTTTAGGACTGAAGGGGCCCCTGAGTGCCCACCCCCTGCAACTCTGGCTATTCCATAGATTGGTCTGCTTCTCTGGAGCCCTCACTCCCATTCGCCTCTCTTCTCGCACCTGTCCGCGCTGCTGACGGTCCCGGCTCTTCTCACCCACCGGCTTCCCCGAATGGCATGATCCTGCCCCTAGTTCGGATGATTCCCTTTCTCTCCCACGGATCCATTCAGCCCCTCTTCCTGGCCCATGCCTGGACTGACTTCGGAGACCCAGCACTGGAAGGCTGGCCTTCTCCCCAGCTCTCCCCTTCCTCTAGTCGTCTTCCCCCATCCCCAGTCCAACAGCAGAAGCTTCCGCCCAGCCCTTCCTTCCTCACCTCACTGGTGCCCTGGGGGCCGGGGTGGGGGGAACACTCCCTTCTTCAGTGGGCTCAGCAGGTCCCAGGCTTTCGAGTCACGTGGACCCTTCACCCGGCAAGGAGGTGCTGGTTAGACGGGCTGGGCCATCGATTGGGATGCAGACCAGGCGCCTTGTGGGGCATTGGAATGGGGCTCGGTCCTCTGCTGAAGGGGAGAGGGAAAGCACTGGAGAAGAGGAATAGCTGCTGTAGCCTTATCCTCCTGCCGTGTCTGGCTCACGGAAGAGGTGAAGGAGAGGGGCCATGAAGTACTTCGTCACCTCTCTGTGTCTCCTAACACTGCCCCCCACCTCACCCCCAACTCGCTCCATCCCTTCCTTGCCTGCTAGTTCAAGCTCTTGCTCAGGAGATGGCTCTATACCCTCCCAGGAGCAAAAGCCAAGCAGGAGGAGTGGGTTGTTTTTTTTTTTTTTTTTCCCCCAAGAATCACAGAATGTCAGGGCCAAAAGGAACCTTGGCGATCACTTAGCTCCGCCTCCTTGGCAAACTCTTGCAAAACCAGGCCTGGAGAGGGACAGCGGACCTATTCGGGGTCACTGCAGAGCCAGAATGAGGACCCAGGTCTCCCCGCTCCCACTTGATGATGTCCTCTTCCCTCTTGATGATATCTTTTCAAAACACACTAAGTGCCTTGCCCGCGCACGGTTGGGGCTGGGGGGTGGCGGGGAAGGGAGGTGCAGGCCGGCTGTGAAGTGCCCCGCGGTGGTGTCGGGGCCCAGCTGCTCCCGCCTCCCTGGCTTGCCCCTGCCAGCCCATCCCTGGCCAGCGGCCCCCATTCCTGCAGCACTTCCAGGGCCCAGGTGTTCTCACAGGGGCAGCTCAGGTTCTGAGGCTCCTGCTCGAACCCCAACACTGGTTTTCGGGAGCCAGAAGATAGCTTTAAGTAATTGGCCTCGGTAGCCTTCCCTTCATGTGGACTGGACCTTCTTTCCCAGTGGCCTTTCCTTAGGGGAGCGGCAAGGGGGAGAAGAAGGAAGGGAGGGAAGCAAGGAGAGAAGGAAGGAAGGAAGGAAAGATGGGAGGAAGTACAGGTCTGAGCAGGCTTCCTTCTCGGAGGCCCCCCAGGAGGGAGGAAAGGGGAGACAGGAGCCTGATGGCCCACCTATGTATGTGTGGGGACAGGGGGAGTCAGGGCCCTCCGAGTCCCACAGTAACCCCGAGGTTGCCTAACCGCCTCTCCCCCCTCACTTCCACTGCTGCTTCAAGGCCCGCCCTGAGGAGCCGGGCTGGGCACCCGCTTCCCGCACCCCCTTCGGGCTGGGAGTGGGGGCTGGCCAGGGTCCAGGAAGCCCCTTCTGCCACTGATGCCCGCACCCGGGATCGGGCCTTCTTTCCCCTCCTCCTCTCTGCATCTCCTGGCTCATCAGCTGCCCAGCCGGCCCCGTGGGGTAGGGGGATAAAGCTGGTCAAGTCCAGAAGAGAGCAGTGGGGGGCTGGGGGCTTGTCTTATTTAAAATGGTTGTGTATGATTCTTATACTAATTTATACAAAGATATTAAGGCCCTTTTCATTAAGAAATTGTCCCCTTCCCATAATTGTGTTCACTGTGTTTGTAAAGATTGTTCTGTGTAAATATGTCTTTATAATAAAGAGTTAAAAGCTGACAATTCACCCTTACTCTTGGAGGTCATGTTCAGGAGGGGCATTCCTGTCCCCTGAGGTCCATGGTTGTCCCTGTGCCCACATATTGCACTTGCACGGAGGTAAGTGCCTGCATCCCAAATCAATTCCAGGTCAAATGGCCTTGAACCCATTTGCCGCAAACGCACAAAAGGAACCTCTGTGCTTAATGACCGGTTCACATAACATTCAGTCCGCTTTTAAGTGTTTTGGCATCTGTTTGGGTGTCCTTCCCCCCCCCCTTCGGTGTCATTTAAAGCTTTTTTACAGAGCAATTGATTTAAGGACATTCTGGTTAAAGGTGGGATTCCTACTCAAATTTGTTTTATATCCTTGGTGGGTGTCTTCTAATTTTATCTACTTTTGAACACTTTCAGGACTTTTTAGCCAGTTTGCCTTTCCTGAAAATGGTTATGTTTCCTGCAATAAGTACATTTGGTAATGACTTTGTATGTATCATTTTATGTTCCACAAAATAGAGCTGCTTGATGAATGAGAAAGGCTGAAAAATAAAATGCAAGGAGTTCAATACAGTTCTGCCCCATCTGTCTCACTTCTTCACACTTGCTGTCGAAACGCCGATATCTTGCAGAACAGAAAGGAGCATGGGTACACGCTAATTTGGTTAATCAACTCATTAGGTGCACACAGACAGACACAGTGCAGAGCACAACCCAGCGAGAAGGAGACAGGAGTGATCAAAAAGGTGCGTTCAATAAATCTTGTGGGATATTCTACAGATTTGATAGGTATTTGGTGCTAGAAATACAGAATTTTAAGAAAGGGTCTGCAGACAAACTTGCTAAAAAGCCATGGAACTGCTCAGTAGGAGACGAAATAGAAAAAGCCACGCACAAGCATACAAAATAATCTCATCATTGACAAAATGCTGCCGATTGCGACATAGTGATTTAAAAATACGACATTATGCTGGAAGTGCCTCTTAAGAAAATTGGTACAAAATGCCTTCTTTCAAAATTACTACTTTGACTTTTAGGCAAACTGGTCGTCAGAGTAACTGGTTAGGCAAAGAGGTTTAGGTGGGCTGGCTTTATGCTGATTGGTCTGTTACCTCCCTGATCACCCCCAAAGCTCTAATTTTACATGAAACCAAGGAGAAGGGGGTGGTGGCAGGGCCGGGGAACTTAATACCCACCCAGAAGTGTGCAGCTTTCAGAGCTCCTTATAAAAATAACTCCTTTTGTCATCCTAACGACTGGGTGACACAGTCCCCGAGCCCCATTTTACCAGTGAGAAATGAGAAAAGGGGCTCAGAGAAGTGAAGCTAGTAAGTGAATCTAGTACCTGGACTTCAAATTCTAGAATGCAAATCCTTTCTCTGGTCCTATGGACGTTCCCCTAATTAGAGGGAAGACTTAAGTACAAAGCGTGTTCGGTATTCTCAGTAAGTGCAGAAGAAATGGACGTCATGGTGTGGACCGGGGGGATTGCTAACACCGGCCCCCACGGCCCGATCACATTTGGTTAAGTTGGGCAGGAGGCTGGCGGGCAGTGGAGGTAGGGGCAGGAAGGGGAGCGGCCACCCGGGTCCTCCAGGCGTAGGTAACCAACTGGAGGCTGGAGGGTGACTACGAGTCTGACCCTGGGGCAGAGAATGAGGGAAAGATAATTAGATAATTAGACATCAAACCAAAAGAAGGCAGGACATATGGATTGCCACCCTTTGGCGATATCTTAACCAAATAAATACAGTAGGATCAGAGTAGGGGGTGGTTTTTGCAAACACAGAGGTAAAAAGAAAAAGGGGTTCACTTAACTGTTTCTGGCCCATAAGTCCTAGACCAAGAGGTTGAAGGGTGGGGCTGGGGGGACAGAGAACTCAAAAAACAACAGTGCTTCAAATCCACCTGGAAAGTAGGCAGCCTCCAAAATGGCAGAGATGAGGGAGGCAAAGGGGCCCAGGCCCAGACACATGGCTTCTCAGGCCCCCAGGAGTGGTATAAAATGAGCCCTAGGCCTCCGAAGCCTAACATTTCAGACTCTCCCACGAGCCCTGGCTGACTCGGTACCACCAACTAGGGCTGGGCTCCTCCACTGTGGAGGGAAGTATGGGGCCAGGCCCAAGCAGCCATTCAGAAGTGCTTATATAACTTTCTTTTTCAGGCCTAAAGTTTATTCAGCTGAAATTTCTCAATCCACAGTTTCTTTCTGACCAGAGTGGGCTCAGGCCAGCTAACAGTGAAAGGGAATAGCAGAGAAGACTTACTATCTTCTGCTCCCAGCCCTAGAAGGGGCTGTAGACTCAGCCAGCCTTACTCGGGAA